ACGATCCTTGTCTTTCTATATGTCACGTCGGCAATCGCAATAAATAACGTCGAGGTTTATATGAGGAAGCTAAGTCATGCGAGTGCTTACGTCTAGTGGGCTTTCGCGCGTAAATATTCCGTATAACCTAAAATTACAAAAGATAAAGACTCTACAGGCTTTCCACGTGGATCTTCAATTTTTCTATGCCAACAATAGTCAAGGTGCTAAGAATGCAGTGACTCAAACTCGTCGCTGCCAAAAAATACATTACCCTGCTTGAAATCACGTCCGATTTCAGTCGCATCTGGCTGTCCGCAATGCTTTTTACGCACTGGTCTCACTTCATTGAATGCCTCACTTTCAGAGGGACATTTTAGCAGCTAAAGTAATAGAGAAACAAAGTAAACATTACTAATAATGCAAGTGTAAAATGCTTAATTGAGTAATCAATAGAGAGAAACACTCCATTCATTGGCCGGTTTCTACGTCAGTAGTGAGTGCGAGAAAGGATGTTCAGGTAAAACAAACTACTGTGTTCTCTTCCCCGTAAACCGAATGTTTGCACGCTAACCAGCTGTATTACAAGCCACTTAGTTCATATGGCTGGAAGTGTCTTTATCGTCGACGCCATACGAGTAATGACTGCTATCAATTTAGTAAAAGCAAAAGTTCAGCAGAAGATCAATGTTTGAAATTAGTAGAAATTGTTGAAATGGAATTGTCGCTGTTTACAGCGTTTCCACAAACGCCCTCACAAGGAGAAGTCCAGTATTGATAATGTTGGCTGCAAAGATAATCCTTCTTTGTGGGTATTTCATCATGGCAGCTAAGAGTGAAATGCCAGTTTACATTGATGAAACACTCGTGATGCCCGGAGAAACTGTCTCTTCGTAAATTAGATAACTGTATTAGTAGCTTGAAATCATGACGCATGCTCATTTTGATAAGCATCAGATAATTTCTTCTCTGATTATAAGTGTATCAGGTGAACATTATGGTCAAATAACGAGTAATGTTTTTCCTGCAGTTTCATCCTATTAATAAATACAATTGTGAATACTGGAAACAACCAAACCAACTGGAAGAAAGCACGGCACAGGTGCGGCTCGATAATTACAAGATATGTATGCGGCCACTGTTAACAAAAGTTGAAGGAGCTCTTTGGCTAGGCAGCTGTTTTTAGTATTATGATGTAAAAATTTTACCTCTGAATGGCACAGTATAAGTTAGCATCAAGAAGAGAGAGCGAAAGAGTGAGTTGGCGTATACTACAACGGAGAAATTTTCTTATGTATGTAATAGTAGTGTGATGTTGTCACTCTGCATCTATGGTTATTGTAGCAGATATGAGAAGTTATACTACGTAAATTCGACGAAAAAAATAATGACTGCGTATGCGTTCTATGTTGTACGTACACACACACACACTTATTTTATGAATGGCCAAATAAGTCGCGTATTAAACAGCAGGGCATACCAGGTGTGCGCCTAAATAAAGTCCACCTGCAGGAACGGAGATTCAGGTTCCACATAACCCCATCATTCTACGCAGGCAGTCTGGGTTATTTATAAACTAGCTCATTGAAAGCGTAGGTTTTGGGCGGTTCATTTGGGAGCCTGGTAGCCGATGGGTCTCCGGAGAATGAATTTCGAAGGTTTGCAGCATGACGGCTGTGGTAAGAAATGTGATGAATGCCTCAAAGATTGCAATATCTTTTTAACGGCATAGTCCAAAGAACACCAGATATTGGTTTTAGTTAATATTGGTTTTGTAAGCGGCTGATGTTTCTTTAGCCATTTCATTACTTTTTTTTTCATGGCCCGGCTACTTTTTTTTTCTTTTAGTACTACGAGGCTCCTTCATGCCGCTCTTAATCCTTATGCTTTTTTTAACACAAAAGTGTTTCATGCCGGAGTTAATAACGGCTCCGGTGCCACACTTCCGTCACGGCAGTGACGCTTAAAGGTATATACCAAAAATTGCGAAATTAAACCAGCAACCTCTCAATTGTCAGCGAGCCGCGCTAACCACTACTCCACAAAGCGCACGTTGTTTGGAGTGTTAACGGCAAGCCATTTATATATAACATATAGCATTGCATTCCTCAGAGCTTCAAAACTTAAGTACGAGATTAGACAGTTATCAGTGACTCTCTGGGTTCTGATTTCCACATTTACGCAATTGGGAACGATGAGGACAGCCTATACACTTTGAGATAAATCCAGCTCAATGGAGAAGTAGCGTTAGCTTAAACCCTGAAATTGTGTCGTTAGTCCACCAAAAGACCAAGTGTGGTGAAAAGCATGTCGTGTGCAAATTTGGAGGACTGACGAGAGTACGAACGGTTCATTTACTGCCTCCGGTAGGGGCTGAAGGGATGAAAAGACGCTTTTTCTACAGCCCTTGCTGTGTGGACGGGTCAGCAGCCTTTCAAGAGTCTGGCTGTCGGTCAGGTGCACCCCATTTTTCTGAAATTCACCCTTACACTTTGTAAAGGTGGTGGTAGCGCGAGGCGGAGAACTCAGAGGTGAATAATGTGGCGGCAAATGTATGTTCCGGGATACAGTGAAGTGATGCTAAGGCTCCTCAGCCTACTTACAGTTACGATGAAGAAAATAAAGCGATAAAAGAATAATTTGTCTGGGAAGAATATACTGCGCCAACCATTATAATGATTTAAAACGTAGTTCAATAAACTTGACAATACTTACTAGCAGTGACAATGATGCAAGTCTGACGGACATTTGAGCTTGTATAATGTGTATCCATCCACGCTGGACGTCTTCGGAATCCCTCATAGTCGTATAGTCAAGAGTGTGGCTCGTGTTCGTCACTCGTGGCGATCTTTTTTGCTCCGTGGAAAGCAAGTGCCGCTTCATAGGCTATCAACGTAGCTGTGAAGGATATACTTCGTCACATGTTCTGGAATTATGGCCCCGCGTGTATTTGTGTTACTGTGGAACGGCTGTTCAATGTACTGACTACCGCAGCTTTCCTGAGAAGAAATGGACACCCCAGCTTGCATGCAAGATTCCTTCGCGGATTCTTTTGTGCAAAGCTTCAAGAATAGACACCATCATCAAGAAGTGTGATCACCAACTTTTGGAATAGTTGTTTCGAGAAACCACATGCCTCGTCAATTTTCAAGGTAAGTTTTTTTTTTTTGCACTTTCATCGCCTTGGAACACTACATTACAAATAATTTGAAAGCTGAAAAAGCACTGTGCGCAGCCTGTTCTAGCATGTTTCATGAGCATTCATGTGACTGCGTAAATATTGGGACCTATGTAATCAAGTCGTGGTCTTCAAGCCATTTTATTTTATAAGTACATTTTCTCGTATTTCTCACAGGTAAGAGGCGGGCAGCAGCCGACAGCCATCTCCGCTGGTTCGCATGACACACTTTTTGGAAAATATAAAGCTTTCTAGCTTTGAATTGGTGTCTGCAATTTGTCATTCCTATGCACATAGTTACGGATGTAGTACTCAGTAAAGCGCAGCTTACCTGAGCTATCATGTCAGTTGGGTGAAGGTGGACAGGTGAACGAATAGGGGACTAATCATTATTTCCTTGAAAAATTGTTCAAATGGATTAACAGTTTATCCTTTAAGAAGTAACTCTCCCTCTCCTAGGAATGATTTTTCGGGGTCAATAGTTAGTCCTTACGAGAGTAAAATTTCCTCTGTTAGGGACCATTTCCGAAAATCACTTGTTAGTCCTTGAAGGAGTGACGATTAGTCTTCTCAGAAGCAACCACAGCCCTCTTGCAGTGAATCTTTCAAAGACTAACAGTTTATCTTCTTTCAGTTAGTCCCCGAAAGGACGCATAGTTGTAGCGAATTCGTTGGTCCCCGAAAGGACTAACCTCCCTACCTCTTTCAGTCTTTTTTTTTTGTTAGGGTGTACTTTTCATATCTTCAGCGCAGCGAATACACATCATTAGGAGCACAATTTATATATTTCTACTTCCGTGGTTTGGTGTACCCGCTTGTGCGATCAATCACGATTGAAGTGCTGGTCACCACTGCACTAATTTGCAGACCTACTCACTCTTTCAGACGTGTCCACCTTGGGCCCAATGCCACATTGGCAGCGTGGTAAGCTGCGCCAGTTGGCAATGGCTTATTGCAGAACGATAATGTGTCGCACTAAAGTAGGCCTGTCACAAAGTAACTATAGTGAACATAATGCGCTATGAGTATCCGTGTTTTGTGGAACGTAACCACTGTAACGAAAAACACTGCGTCGTTATGAATGCTTGGCATTGTATGACGAATACTTAGCACGAATTTTTTACCAGAGTTGGTTTGGTTCAATTTGTTCTTTGTGTAGGAGCGAAGAGAATAAAGAATTATTGAGGCTATTGTATTGTTGTTCATTCCACGATAATTTAAGGCTTTAGACTGAAGTTGGTCGTTGAGCACTGGGAGCCTTGGGAGAAGCATGGCAGGGCGAACGAAGCGGTGCAATAACCCACGCAGCCTACGGGGTGACGTTATGTTGTAACGCAACCCCATGAGGTCATAATTATGTCAAAGATTACAGGCACTTGTGACAACAACGTAACAGGACATGATGACGTCATCACGTGGAATAATTGATGGGTCAAAAGTAAAAAAAAAAAGTGGAGCTTGTGCAACTCACGGTACTAGCAGTTAACTCTCGAAGACGAAATGAAGGGGCGTGACTTATACTGTAATACCAAGTTTGCTAAAACGTTGCGAATAGATAAATGATACACCAAAATGAAGAATAGCGGTCTACTTTGATTAGACCCGTAGAGGCCGAAATTGACAAACATTCGTAAATGGAAAGAGAAGACGTTTGACATGTTTTTAGACTGCCTGTAAACATGAAGCGGCAAAAAAAAAAAGGCCAAGCCTGCACGGAACGTGTGACACAACAGCGAAAGCTGGACGAGCGGCCTTTCAGAGCTTTTTATAAACACCCGTTCGGTAACTGCTGCAAGCACACTTGCAGGGTACCCACTATGCGATAAATAAAGAAGGAAGGAAGGAAGGAAGGAAAATAGCTTTATTTTCGTCCCGTGGAACGCGACTGGGTCACGCACCCGCCTGAGTCCCACATCCCAATCACATTTTTTGTGTTGTAGGCCGGAATTTAGTATGCTATCCCTCATGGTGTCCACTACGAGGTTGCAAGAAATTCAGTGCAAATTTTTATGCAGTGGCTTATGAAGAAGAATTAGGCCCCAGGTGGGCCTGTACCGCAGTTATTACGGGAACAAGAACAACCATTTGTAATAGGTTGGAGGGTTTGATCACCCACACATTACGCAATTAGCGTTGTGTGACGACTGTCTCTTCCTTTGCGGTTCTAAAACGCTTTGTTACTCATAATAACGCGATTTCTTTCTCGACGTTAAGCCCGCATAAGGCAAGCTTACCGCGGAGCTTCATACACCTGCGTTGCTCGGTGACTGGGCTTGCCACGTAGGGGACCCGGTTTCGAATCCTGTGGGGTCCGTCGTGTTTTTATTCATTAAAGCTTCTTTTCTCGTTTAAGCGATAATGGTTACGAACACCGGTTACTGCGGTTGTGGACAACAACTACACGCTGGCGACCCTTGTTATGGTCTCATATGAACTTGCGCTGTGTAACATAAATCTAGGTTAGGGAAGCCATTAAAGGGTACCTAGTAAGACGGAGAATACACAAGCCTAAATGCCACTATTGGCTTTGTGATACCGACACACCGAACCAGAAATATTCCTTACATTTTGAGGGCTTTGCCAAGAAAGACGTCTCTCCTGAGACGCCTTCAATTGCTTTATTCTCGTATATTTCGTTTTCCGACAAAGAAGAGAGACAGCGTGTGCTTGACGCCACCACAGCTATAATCCCACCCGTGCACTGGCCGTCGTTCGATATGCAAGCGGAGAAAGGCACTTCCTTTTTCTTCCACAGGTTTCAGACTGCGTCCGGTGTAGATGCTGATTTCGCCAAGCCTGTAGTGGTGCGGGCGTCGAACCTGTGAAACCAAGGCCTAATCTCACTTACTGTCTTCAAGCTATATGCACATACTACACAGGAAGCGTTAGGCGAACAGCCGAAGCCGGGTGCTTTTTTGCACTCCGCAGTAATGAAAGCCAACATGAATGTGGAAAGGTATTGAAGCTATACTCGCGGACAACGTCTCTTGGCAATGAAGAGAAGGCTACGCAACCAGACTGGGCATGTGTCACCAGTGAAGAACATTGTCCCACAATTACATCCGTATTTTCCAGGCGAATATCATAAAAAACAACATCACTTTATTTTCTACGGGGTGTATTTTGAACCCAGCCCACATCAATGACAAATTCATAACTATTTTCTTCATGCAGTGCCATTTCGAGTTTTTACAGTTTTGAAAATGTTTTTCAATGTTGACGGAGCGTACGCTAGCGACACGCATTACGTGGTACTTCGAGGGATACTCCTGGTATCATCCAGGCCAAATCGGGTTCCGTTCCTATCTCGGCACTGAGGATGGCCTTGCCTACCTCTCATTCATGGTTCTCGTTGGAGGTCGATCTCGACGGATTCACACCATTCTGTGTATGGACGTCTGTAAAACATATCAGTCATAATGCTAGTGTAAAAATTTTCTATTGGCTCAAATTTTTCAGTAGAGTGTGCTAGTTCGTCAAAGCCTTTCTTCACAATCGTGGCTTTTCCATTCGCCTAGCTGGTCAGAAAGTTGGAAAGTAGAGGTGTCCCACTAGTATCTGTGCTCGCCCCAGTTCTTTTTAACGTGGCCCTGCTCCCACTGGCGTGGAAGCTGGCGGTAATACACCACGCAATATACATTATGTATGTAGACATCACTCTTTAGACAGTGCACCCTACAATCAGCTGCCAAGAACAAGCTTTGCAAGAGACACTCGACATAAACCACAACTGGTGCACCCAGGTAAGTCTCGAAATCTCAAAAAAAAAAAGCGAAGTTCGTGGCGGTTGCGAACAATTATGGAAGTCGTAAGCTGGGAGTCCGGCCTCTGCAGGTAATTTTGAATCAGCAGCCACTACCCGAAGCCTCAGATCTCCGGGGGATTCACCTGAAAATTCACGTCACCGGATCTGCAGGACCTTGGGTCAAGAGTACCAAAGAGCAGGCGTCAGAAAATGTACACCTCATATGAAGGATTGAAAATAAATCTGGTGGTGCTAATTCCAACATGACTCGCCTCATTGACCGTTTGATATTGCAGCCAAAGCTCGTTTACCTCGCTCAGTTTCATCACCTAACTCTGGCAGAGTGGGTACGTCTAGAGGCGGTCAACCCCGAAGCCATGCGTGCCATAACTGTACTGCCACGCATCACTCCACTGATAGTACTTCAACAGGAGTCCCAACGAAACACAATTGATGAATTAGTACATCAGCGTCGCCGTGCGCGCAACCTCAAGCCATCAACGTTCTCTTCGACTGCTGCATTGGCACGGTACATGGGCAAAGAAGTTCACCACACACCTTCAGAGACGACCACTATTGCCCCGTGGAACAAAATGCAACTGAGTGAAAACGAACCCATTCGTCCCCTTTACAGCCCAGTTTTACATCAGGTGAACACCCAAGTATTCCGCCTGCTTCGTACAAATAACCTAGATGCCGCTAATGTCGTCGCTAATACGGATGCCAGTGCGAGCTGCGTCACCATTCGTGCCACTCTCAAATGTCCGTTAGTACCAGAGGCTGGCCAGGCATGCTCAAATTTTGCGGATCCTGCACCGCCGGCTCACCTTGCTGAGCTGGCCGCCATGCGTGATAGACAGGCAGTGCTGATACCTCTTCTGCAAGTAGCATTTGTTCTCAGCTCATCATTCGTACAGACTCGACGCAAGCTATTCACGATATATGACGAGTGTATCGCTCCACGTCACTCTCGGATACTATTCGCGTTCTTGCGTCTTCCGCATCTGTGCAAGTTCGTGTTCAGTGGGTTCCACGGGCCGCTTTGTCGGACTTTGTAAAAGCTGATTTGGCAATCCACCCTCAAGTTCCACCACACCCGCTGCCGCATTTTCCTGAGGACGCTCAAGGACAGATGCTCCGAGAAAAAGAAAGCCTCTGGCGTGCCACACGAGCTTTTAAACCTCCGCGTGGATCACACCTCTCTGGTGGTTTAACACGTCATGAGGAGTTGCGGAAGCTTTGTGTTGGGGTTGCACTTACCCCATCCGTGACCGCCCTTTGGGCGCAAAAGTACCGAGGCCCGTATGGCACATCATGCCGAGTTAGTGATGCCACAGTCAAAGATGTAACTGCCTCGCACTTACTGTGGACCTGCACTGGTCTACAATTAAGTTGTCACCGCCACCTTCGTGGAACAGGTCTCAGGCCTGGCCGACCACCCGACTTTGACCACTGGCTTCGCTGGCCACACCACCGTTTCTACTAAAGTTTAAAAGTGAAGAAAATGACTATGTGTATTTTTCAATCAGAAATTATTATGCCTTAGGGCAGACTTTTCAAATAGGTTAAAAAAAAAGAACGTCGCTCGTTTACGTATGCCCCACTGTCAAAACGGTGTCTTCGTCTTCGGCGGAGTGCTCGTCGCCATCCAGCTATTTCGACAACACGCCGAAGAAGCTTGAGGTGAATTTCACTCACGAATGACTGTCTAAGCAGACGAAGTAAAATAAATGCAGTGTAATTATTTGAACGCGGCCGTCTTTCGAAGCACGAGCGCAACCGTACTACCTGGTGCAGTAGCTCTACCTCCGTAGCTTTCTTTTCATTGGCAAGAAAACTTGTCCGCGAGTATACAAGACAAGAAATATACGCTTATAAAAGTGACAAAAGCTTTTGAACCACGTGAAACATTTGCCATGATTTTAACACACAGTGGCAACTTATGGCTAATAGCAAGTCAATAAGTCAATATACGTGATGACTAAAGGTAACAGAAATGCAGCGGTGATGAAAAACGGGGCACTGTGTAATTACACTAGGTATGATGTTGTGAGAGGAATATGGAAAGGGGTCATGGCTCCTGGTCTGACGTTCGGCATTGCGGTCTTGTGCATGAGATCAGAAGTTCAAGCAAGATTAGAAATTAAGCAACATGGAATAGGTAGGCTTGCCTTAGGAGCTCACGGGAATACAGCAAATCAGGGAGTACAAGGTGATATGGGATGGACATCATTTGAGGGCAGGGAAGGTAGCAGCAAGATAAAATTTGAGAAGGGATTGAGAGAAGTGGGGGAGGAGCGTTGGGCTAGGAAGGTTTTCAGCTACTTGCACATGAAAAATGTCGATACAAAATGAAGGAAGCGAACCAGAAAATCGACGGGTAAATACATAGAAAACAGCAGGGGGCCAAACCAAAAAGAACTATCAGTTACGAAGTAGGTGAAGGAAACGGAGACTGACATGTGGAGAATTGGCATGGTTAAGAAGTTCGCACTAGAGATCTATCGAACTTTCAAGCAGGAAATTACCAAGGAAAGGATCTATGATAATCCTCGGGGTAGTTCTCTACTGTTTGAGGCCAGGACGGGAGTATTGTGAACGGAGACATATCGGGCCGAATACGAAGGGGTAGACATGGTATGCAGTGCGTGTGGAGAGAAAGAAGAAACTGCCGAACACTTGATAATGTTCTGTAAAGGGCTTCACCCTATATTTCAGGATGATGGCGCAAAGTTTTTCAAAGCACTGGTGTTTAGAGACAGGGAGGGCAAAATAGACATTAAGTGGGTAGAATTAACTGGAAGGAGGCTATGTGATTGGTGGCTAAAGTCGAGGCACGAGTGAAAATTAAGCCCTCCACTGCAAAATACGAGTCCTCAACCTCACTATTTAAAGGGAAAAAATAAATCTAGTTTTTGGTTCACTAAGTATTGCGGCTTGGTGGCATCAGCCACCGCCTGATCTAAAGAGTACAGCCATATCAATCCATCCATCCATGGAGAATCGGCATGATTAAGAAGTCCGCGCTAGAGAACTCTTATGAAGGAAATTGCCAAGGAAAGAATCTATGATAATACTCGGGGTAGCCACCAGATCTGAAGGATACAGCCGCTTCATTAAATCAATCAATCAATCAATCAAATCAATCAATCAATGCCAGCTTTGGCTGTTTTGTCGGGCCATCGCAGGCTCCTTTAGAGCTGCAGCTGTGGTTACTTGAAACGTGCGTTTGCTTCCTGGTTCAAGCAGACGTAATATTACAAGGTTAATTCGTGGACAAACTGAACAGAGCGTTAGCATGGGAGATGCAAAGAACGACGCTTTTGGAGCACCCCGGTCACTGCTTCGGCAACCCGGGGCGAAAAAATGGCAATCCGTCCTCCGCTTCGACATGTAACAAGCTACATGTTTGTTGGTGCGGGATATCACACGAGATACTGACTCTACCACGGTACTTGTGCAACAATGGAACACGTGCATTGGAGTAGCTTGATAGAAGTGGAAATGTACAAATCCGGCCTGCAAGAGACGCTCATAAGCTTCGCTCTCTTACGCCAGAACAGTCATTGAGAAGCGCACACACGGACTTGGGGAATAAAAAAGTGTATCTCGTGTGCCCTGAGAGCCTCCCTCTGGCTGTCGCTGGCCCTCTTGTGTGTATCACTTGGGCTAAAATTTATTTTGAACATCTGCTAATGACAAGAAAGCGAAAGCATTATGCTTCCCATTTATGGTATTGGCCTTAACGCGTACTTCCAAGCGCGCGCATGGGGTAAAAGTGACACGGAGTAACACGATACTACATGTAACACATGAAAAGAAAGAAAAGCAGCGTATTTACTTTTGCATGTTTTGTTGAACTGACAATATTCCTTAGGATAGCCCGTATCTATGCCTTTCTGCGCGCTTTGGTCTGTCGGAAATCCGATTGCGAACATTCGCGGCCCAGGTTCACAATTTCCACAGAAATGTGGTCCCAACACCTTCTTGGCATCGCAGCTCCTCGCAGCCTGGTCACTCGCTGAAGAACACCAGCTCAAGCACAAGCAGCACACATCACAATACAAAGAGCCCGACGGCATACAGAGAACGATGCAGCATTCGTTGTTTCTCGTCGAAGCGCAGTAATGCTGCAGAGACTGCAACGCCGATAAGAACGCGCCGCGGCATGCCGGCGTCGGTTGCATCGTGCAGCAACACGACGCACCACGCAACAAGCGTCATCGCCCCGTTGGCGTATGCGGTAGAGGTTCCAGGCCTTGACGAAGTTCCTTCAGGTGGCGGTGTCTCAACGCGCCAAACTCACGCATATGCCCACACACGCAATGACTGACTCCCGCGCTGCCCGTGCTACCGAGAGAACACGCTGTCGGTGCTCACTGGCTGACATGAAAAGGCGCAGTGGCGCCGCGAGAAATCCCAGTGGCCGTCCGTGTCGTTTTGGGCCGCCCAGACAGCATCTGTGGCCTGGTGGTCGTGCCACTAGAGTATATCTTAGTTGACTATATCCCCGGCTGAAAGAGCTTCGCCCCCAAAAATAGAGGAGATGCCGTTTAAACCTCATATACCTTTCCAGATTTGGGAATTTCGAGCTTAAGAGTGCATTGACAAGGCCCAATTACGTCTGCCAAACTCATTACGCTACGCGCCGCGGACATATGTCAATTTTCAAGATGACTGCTTCTTGCCCTCCGTCCCGAGAGCGGGCTTCCCAAGGTGAAGGGTATGACATACACAGTTTAACCGTTTAAATGGAGAGCGTTAGGAAAAACGCAACATCAACAGCGTTGACCCGATGAATGCGAAAAATAAATGTCAGGGTTCCATTAGTAATCAATCCAAGTATTCCGCGTGGCATTAAAGCATTTCGCCACAGAGCCACGCCAGGTCTCGGAACTACTTTGAAAATAGACGCTAACGTTCGTTAAGCGTCAGTTGTGGTTGCACTGCTGGGTATCGAATTTTATAAAGATTACATATATACTCCCATGATACCACCGTCCCGACAGTTTAACGGCCATTTTAGTTAGGTGCGATGTGCTGAAGTTGATTTATGTGGCAGTGTCCAGGGCTACCATACTCGCGAGCACCAGCGCTTCATGTTACCTTGCGTTTCTGATGCTGCTAATATCTATGTTGCTGCAGTTGGCATTATTCACATCTGTTAAGAATTGGTTATATAAAACATATGCAACAGTTTGATGTATGTCTGTGCAAGCATTTGTACGTATCGTTAGCCTCCCTTCGTAACGTCTCGCTCAATAGAAAAAATACAACACAGCCACCTCCCATCCACATAACATCGATTCCCAAGGTACGTGGGATCGGCCAAACTTTTTTATTTGTTTGAATAGTTTTGTCTTTCTGGCACAACGATGGGGATAGTGGCAACGCATAACGATATATACTAGATGTACTGTTTATAAAAAATGTTCGGTACAACTTTACAAGTGCAGTTTGATCTAGAGCTATGGCTTTTCAAGGCCCTTCCTCCCACCCCTCCTTCTCGTCCCTTTGTCGTCGTTCTGTTCTCGCGCTGTAACTATCGTCTCCCACCCCAGTCTCAATGTTTTCCTATTGTATCCTGATGAGGCGTCATCTCAAATATTCACCTGTGGCACGCGTCCTTGTGGATGACCGTTGGTAGAGAACGAGTCCAAGTTAGCGGTCCCAGCCCGCGGCCAAAGCCCTTGTCCAGTACCTCAGGTCGGTGTCCGGGAGAAGCTCACACGGGATCAGAGGGTTCCTGCATTCATCACCACTTCCTTCAAACACTATAGCAGAGGCACGAAGCAAAAACAAAAGAAAGAAAAAATTAACGTGCACCTGATATAAGGGTCTTACCAGAATTTACACAGAGAACTTCGTATTTTCACCTTCAAGGGAACATCGCGATTTACACCATTCGGTGCGTTTGCTTGTGTCTTTTCCCTATTTCTGAATGCGGCGTGACAACCAGGCGTTCGACGAATAAGTTCTAACTGAACGTGTTTTAGAAGCCTTACTTATGCCCTTCTCAACGGGAGAGCTTAGCCTCTCTGATACCCAACTGCAGTTAACGGACGTACCCACAGTTACCGTAAACCAGTCAGAGGCGCTGTCACACGTTTGCTGTACGGAAAAGCTTGTGTGCGCGTAGGTAACACAGTTTTAGCTTTAGCCAGGTCTGACGTTGAAGATGTCTAGTGTCATAAGTAGCAAATGATTGCACAAGTTAAAGAACTACGCCATTCTGCGCAAAAAAAAAAAACAATGCCTTTTCAATGCGTCGAATCGATGTGGTAGGTACCAAGACACGCCGCATCGCGTCTCGGTAGCTGCTGCGTGGTGAAGGTGGAGGCCTAATTAAAATAGCAAGTCTTGCGTGGCAGTTATTATACACATAATATATCACCCAAAAGGTGGAACTGCTGCGTCGTCGCAACGTTCCAGTTGACAACCGAGCTGCTCGCGTCCGAGATGGAGGCCACTGTCTTGGTAGTTAACGGCGCTTACAGGAATTTCCCACCTCCGTTTACGAAAACGGTCGTTAGTAAAATGACTTCGATTAGGGTTTTCATGTGACCAGGTACAATTCGCGTTTGATTTAATGGCCGTCGTACTTAACTGTGGTTATACTACCCATGTGACAAAGGCATTAGATGCGTTACAATAGAAAGTGAAGTGTTGGCTAGAAGCAAGCAGCAACCGGAAATAGAAACCGGAAAGCAATATAAGAAACTAGATGCCGAGAACTGCAGTGCCACTATGGAGATGAGGACAGTAGCATGAAGGACGAACAAGGCGCTTTCTTTTATCACGCTCGTCTATGGCGCTGTGGCTACCCATGCGTCACCAACTCGCCCAAGTGTTCACGTTATTAGACTGCGCGTAGCAATTAACCGCAAATTACTTGACCCATTAGGTTCATGGAAGTACGAAGATGTTGAGTCTGCTACTATGAAGAAATGCAGCTAATACTGGATCGGATGAACGAAGTTCTTCGGTGGGTACCTATTGGATTCGGTGTAGTCGACAACCCGAATTAACAAAACTAACTTGTGTACAAAACCAGATTTAACAATGACTTTTGAGAGAAGTCAGGTATAAAAATGTGATTTGTTTCTAATTTATAAATGCGCAGCTTTTCTCGAATAGAGAACGTGGGACAATGAAATTCTTAGTCGACAGTCAGCGCTTATATAGTATTTTTTTACTTTTATGTGCGTGCTTTTTTGGGAGGGAGGGGGTGGGGTTGGGGTGGGAGGGGGCTAATGCGTTTCACAGTAGGCTAATAATTGAGCGCGCGTTATAAGGGTATTGCGTCCGAGCATCTCGGCGCACAAGTCACAGCTTTAGCTTCACTTTGACGCAGTGGCGCGCCACTTTGTCTCACTAAACAACATACTGAGCAGTCACTAGCGCTTTTGTTGTTACTCGCTTTTGTGAGTTTTTGATTGAGACGAAACAAATCAGTGAGCATATTGCGACCCTCTCGCTTAGCCTGGTCGACAAGAGCACAAAGGGAACACGATGTTCGCAATGTCCTCGAGCCATCTTCGTGGACTACTTGTACGTACAGGTGTGGGCAAGGGTCATATACAATGTCGCGCTTGTTTTTTCGTGGTTAAAGCACTTTCTTCAGTGTCGGTGGCCTTAAACTACCGAAGAGAGCTTGAACACTGAGGAAAGCGACCTTATTTATTGTAAGAGCAATCTCTATTATATACGTGTTTTACTGGTACATCAGAATTATCACCGTGAGCAACGTGAGGGCGTTCTTCCTTCAAGCGATGCGAGAGAAGTGCCCTCGTCACCGAATGTCTAACGCCCCGCTGCGGTAGTCTAGTGGCTAAGGTACTCGGCAGTGCTGACCGGCAGGTCGCGCGGTTGAATCCCGGTCTCGGCGGTTACATTTTCTTTGGAAGAGAAAATGCTGTAGGCGCATGTGTACATGCTCATATTGGTGTGCACGTTAAAGAGCCACTGGTGGTCTTTAACCTGTGGTCTTAAAAACCTGGAAAGGCTGTGGAATCAAAGAACCACAGCCTTTCTCCCCTTCTACTGAATTGACAGGCGGGATGTTTCCTCTGCGCGTGAGAAGACATCGACTGCAGGCCTCGAAAGCATCGCGATATGGTCGCATGCATGCTTCGTGCGACGGAGATAGTCAGCTCGTTTCATCTATGCTTCAGGTGCATTCATCACCACCGCTTGCGTGGTTTTGTTCGCGCGTCGAAGTTCCGATGGGCGGGGCACCAATATTGATGTGGAGTTTCTACGGAGAATGAGAGCGACGACAACAAGCTACCGAGAGCACCGATGTGATTTCCGTCCCCGTAAAATTGTTCCTACTTTGTGAAATTGTGAAGTACTGTGATAGTGGCGAGTACGATATAGTCTGTCATTGATCGATAACCTCATAATGAGAAAATGAGGGCTTCTGCACACATGCCGATGTATGCATAGTGTGTTTTGCACTTAGGGGAAATCTCAGAGCGTCTTACATCGTGGTGCGACCAAGGCTGCCGTCACATGCCGGCACGCAGCTCGTGCGTGCGCTCTCACCCGAGGGACATAGTGACAAACTGCGGCGTCTGTTACGGCAGCACACACATGCACGCGCCTACAGGTCACACTGCGTGCCATGCGTTCAAAGTGAAACAGACTGTACATTTGAACATTATCACTGGAGCTCTCATTTAATCTAACATTTTAAAGATTTAGCGCCGAGTCCCAGAGAGGCTTCCGTGCGTGAGCCTATACGCTCTTTGTATTTTGCACGGGTTTGGCGGAAAGTACTATGCAATACATTGATCTAGCGAACGTAAGTCGCTTTGGGTAACCGACACTAAACTTGTCTAATAAGTCCTTCTCATGCGTCGCGCGTACAATCCGATCGGACAGTTCGCAAGCACTCAAGAAGGTTCTGCTGTGTTAAGGCACGGCTTGAATGCTGTACACCATGCAGAGAAGCATGGCAGCTCTTTCACAAAGAAAGATGTGCACAATAAAAGGCAAGGACGGGTGCAGATATACCAAAAATTCAAAGTGCTCTAAACTGGAGTAGCACACACCATGTGCATTTGCCGAGTACAAAACACGTGACAAGTTGAATGACCGAGTCTTACGAGACGGAGTCGGGCCTGAGAAGGGCGTGCCTCTGAATGACCATCCAGTCCGGCTCATCCGCATTGGCGCACAGCAGCTTGGCCAGGCTGAACTCTGACACCTGCTGCAGTTGAGCTGAGAAAGAAAGAAAAATGAAACGCGGTTGGTCTCTTGTATTAGATACCTGGAAATGTCCCCGCGCTAATGCGAAGAAAGCGGCTGCGCTTTTGAAACATTAGGTAGGTATATGCAATGTTTATTTGATTATTTATTAATTATTTATTCATTTATTGCATGCTGCGTGTCCCATTAGTGATCATTGCAAGAAGGGCACAACTTAGCATATAAGACTAGTATATAAAATTATATTTCGCATATAGAACTGAGTTAATTGTTATTTCCCGCTCTCTAATAAGTAAGTATCTCGCTATAAGGGAATTATAGGGGCTCACAATTTGAAGTCCATAGGTTCAACCGAGGGTCAGAGCCTCGCCCGTGCGCTATTTAATCCTTCATAATTTTTGTGAGCTGTACGCAGAAAGAATGATATCGGGGGTTTTTTTGTCCCAAAATCACGATGTGATCATGAGGAACGCCGCACAGTACACACACAGTACGTGGGCCTCTGCCATTTTGACTACATCGAAATTTGACAGCCTCGACCGGGATCGAACCCGCCACCATAGGGTCAGCAGCCAAGCACCTCAGCCACTGATCCACTGAGGCGAACGGGCAGTGGCTCATGATGCTGAATTATGGCACGGCCATTTGCAATGGGTTGGAAGCACTGCAATGCGTATTGTGTGATACGTAGCACAATTCGCGTCGCGTGACGCGTGGTTGTTATTTTAATCTTTTACCACGTCATAGTCCTTACCCACAAACGCCTTTATAAGGTGGCGAAGTAGCGTCGTGCCACAACATGCTGTGAGGTGGAATAGTGGACTGCCGCGAAGATGCCCCAGGTACGAACACCGCTTAATATTTGGTATTTTTTTTTATTACGCAGGACACCTTCGGCGGCAGGGTGGCAGTGGCGGCTCCAAAAACGACCCTCGTCGTGATATCATCGCAACTTTCTCTTTAATAGAAACATTTCATGCATGCTAAGATAACTGCGAATCCGCCAAGCTTGGTAGTTAACAATGTCGGTTTCGTTAACTTTGAAAATAGCATCTCAAAATAAATATATTGAATGAAATGGGTATAAAGTTTGTTGCGCGACGTTGAATACTCTCATATATGCTGAGATAAACTGTTGTCTAGTTTTTCTCACCTTTTATTTAGGGGTAAATGAAATTACATGCTCGGCAAAACTTGCCCGAAACTTGATGTATTGTGCGAAAACAAACATCAGTGACCAGCCTTTCAAAGCTTTCTATTGCATTGGTAGGAAATTCAACTAAAAGCGGTACGTAGCCATGTTTTGGATTTCTAACCGCGCAAGCGAGATGAAACAAGACCGATCGTCTCCTGTCATGACAGACGTGTCAGCAGGGGGGGCAAGGGAGGCGCTACCCCCCCTAAATAAGTTGGGGGGGGCGGAGCCCCCCCCCCCCCTCATTTTTGGTTGTGGTCACTCTCGCTGCGTGCTGGAAAACCTAACAATTAAGGTGAAGTTTTCCGTCACATCAGAAACCACTCAAATATGCTTTTACGGGAGAATGAAAATGTTAGGAGGCAATCTTACAACATAGGGAAATTTTGTCAACGTTTCCTCTGCGGTGATTTTCCTTGTGGGCTTTTTGCGGGGTGGGGTTGCCTATGCGACGCCTATGCGTCTTGCGCTGTAATATTGCAGAGCATGTAAGCGCTGAACAGGGGCCCTCTAATGTTACATCACTCGTTCATGCTTTTATTCTGCTGTGACTTGTGAAAAGTCACGGATGGGAACGAGCAAACTTCTTGAAGACCAGTCAAAACATTTGCTGCTTCCAGAAAATAAGTTCCTTCAAAAAGAATATACCGTCACCGCTAGCTGCTTTGTCGAGACTGTTGCGAGCTGATTAGTGTGGCGAATCGTTTTGGACACGGAAACATATATCAAAGTGCGAGGTGCGAGCGCATCGATGAAGTTCTCTGTTTTTTGAGTCATATGACCAATTTTAGCTTCTTTTATTGACAATGCTTAAATATATGTTTTATGGACGACCTGTACGAGGCCTATAGCGCTAGGCATTGTTCTAGGCTACACGACACAATTGCAGCTAAAAGGAACGAAAACGGGGAAAAGTAACATGCTGTTAGTCTTTCTTTTTTGGTTTTTATGTTTTACAACGTTGATTGTACGTCCCATACATAAGTGATGTTTATCAAAAACAACATCTATTGTTTGTTTGATCGGATAAACCATATCGTAGAGGAATTGATACTCTTGTTAGAATTGTGTCAGAAAAGTTTCTTTCATTATAAAACGACAATGCTTTATGCCGGGGTCCACCAAGACTTCAGTGACGTACCTCTGTCAGAGAAATGACGTCGAAAAAAATACGCATGGTCAGAAAAAAAAAGTTGCGTGAACGGGAGGGGAGCCCACGTCCAAAAAGTCGGCGACAACAGCTGCCGTTATCCGATGCGCCGTGGTCACATACCTTGTAGGCCTTAAAAACACACCATGCGCATCTATCTCTGCCCTATCACAGTGCTATTAGTAAAGTGCAGGGATGCATCATGACAGCGATATCTACGATTAGTTCCTTCAGTATTTGTTTCTAGGCGTCCGTTCAATTTGGCAAGCTTCCAATACGAGAATTAAAATTTTTTTGCGCATTCACACGCCACCAGGTTCCGGCCTTACGGTAGGCGTCGCTCGTAGCATCCATGCATACCAAAAATAGCTATGCAACGCTTAGAGCATCTGCCGGCGTCATCTGGATGCAACTCCGCGTTCCCTGCTTACGCTCGCCCCGCGAAAAATTGTGTCCGGGTGACGTGGGAGCAGCCAGCATCAGTCTTGGACTGTCGAACTTCATAAAGTCATTCATGTCCTAACAGGAAAGAGAACGAGTGCTGGGTTTCCCTTTAATCGTGCCGTGGCGTTCAATAACTCTAACAAGCTTTGGGTAGGCGATGTTAGTCCTGGTTTGGCGTACAATTAGTCATGCTCTTGTGGCTATCCACGGCTTTCTTTGGTTCCGCTCTATCAATTAACAGTTAGCACAGGCATCCATGGCCACAACGGCATGTTTGATCAATAATCATCGACGTAAGTCATCGGGATGGAGATGTATCACCAAGTGTCAACGTAGGTGCACTTACAATAGACGGCGCTTTGGCTGTCAAACATAGGGAGAGTGTATATAAGCTTTGTTATACCAACGTTCAGTACACAATGGTCCACTACTGTAAGGAGAAGTCTTACTTTCCCGTTACACCGAATTCTGTGCCGGAGGCATCAACCACGTTTTTTTTTTTATTCTCTGGCGTGTATTTGTGCTTGTTTTATGTTTTGTGTGATGCATCAGGTGTGTCCTATCGGTGTACTCTGTCATGCAAAGAAATAAGGGCGCAGGGACCACCGTCCAGTCATACACAAAGCTTGTTGAGCGCAGTGGTGCAGTGGTTCCGATTCTCGGCTGCTGAACCCAAGCCCACGGATCTGATGACGGCTCCGGCAACGGCATTTTAATGTAGGTGAAATGCTGAAATCCCGTGTACTTTGCGATAGCAGAGCACGTTAAAGAAAGCCAGGCTGCTAAAATTTTTTGGAGCCCTCCAGTACGGCGTCTGTAATAATCACATCGCAGTTTTGGCAAGCACAACCCGAGATATGCTTATTACACATGGATTTAAGTCCCGTATTTACTTCTACCAAACCAAATTCCGCTTGTTATGATACGCCCCACCGCTGTGGCCTAGTGAGTAAAACCACTAGCACAGAACTCGGCTGCTGACGCGCAGGTTGCGGGATCGAATCCCGGCTGCGGTGGCTGCACTTTCGATGGAGGCGAAAATGCTGCAGGCCCGTGTGCTCAGATTTGGGTGCACGTTAAATAAACCCTGGTGGAAGGAATTTCCGGAGCCCTTGACAACGGCGTCTCTCAGTCATGATCATATGGTGATTTTGGGACGTTAAACACCACATATCAATAAATCAATCAATCAATGAAAGCTTCATATGATTAGATTTTAATCACTGTGTGACAATTCTATTCAGATCTGTTCGGCATAAATGCAACCTTCCGTTGCAGAAAAACAAAGAGGTGCTATTGTGACGTCCGATTGTTGGCTTTTCCTTGTTGGACGTACCAGCCAGACCTAATAAGGGTTTTGTCAACAGTCGTCGAAATTCTAATGCTGTCCCATTTCTCACTCTGTTGTTTTTCCTTCGTGTCATGGACGTCGTTTAGTACTCCCTTGACCCGATCCTATATCACAGGCACCTCGCGCAGCCGTTACCATTGTGGCCAGAACAAAAAGCCTCGCCTTTTCGCAATACTTTTAGGCCGGTGCGGACTCGCACTATGCTCAAGGCCGTTCTCATAATCCAAGTAAGAGGCTTTCGCTTGGACAGCGAGATGGCGTGTGCATGTTCTAAACTACTCGTTGGATAACGTTTGAGGCCACGGCCAACCGTGAAAGTGCGACCTGTGCTGACATTAGTGGACTTTTCCTGCTGTAATACACAATTTACAATTAGGTCATGACGAGAGATCTTCCCTGAGCATTAATGTTACGGTGTTAATAAGACAGATATAAGAGTGATCAATACTGCACCGACAGCGATACACAACACTTGCTTGCGACCGAGAACAGTTACAGAAAGAAATTGACTAAACAATGTGTCCACTGCAATTCTATACTTTTTGTAAGGTGTCTTAGAAGGTCACTTGACAGAGAACCAGGTAAATGTTTTTAGTGACCTTTCCGGAGGCGCTAGCCTCATTTATCGCCTGGCTCACTACTCGAGGTGTCGGGTGATGATTACGGTCACATAAGCACACATAATAATTCACGGTCACAAACTGAAAAAAATACTTCAGTGTGCTATGTGAGGATCCCACATTGCATCCTAAATTCATGCGACGTCATCTACCATTTGTATGAGCGCCTTTCATGATGGTATAAAGAAACCAAAGGGTGGCTGCCGTCCACGTGCTGTCCCTAGCAATCGTTTATTGTAATACGCCTTTAATTCTTGATAATAAAATAAAATGCATGTAGCATGTTCTTATACAACGTCAGACCACCTCGGTGGAACGTTGGCTATGGTGCTAAGCTGCTGATCCATAGGTCGCGAGTTCGGTCGCGGCGGTCGTATTTCGATAGAGGCGAAATAGTTGAGGCCCGCGCGCTGAGCGATTCCAGTGGATGCTACAGAACACCATATGGCCAAAATTACGGAGCCCTTCATTACGGCGTCTCTCATAATCGGCTGTGTTTCTGGGGGCGTAATTCTCTAGCTAAACTAATTATTATTAACATGCAGCCCTCATTTATTGTAAAATGCGAGTGCGTATCTTGCCTCGTACCGCGCATGGCGCACGGTGCAGTGGCGAATTATGAAAAAAAAATACTGCCGCTGTCCCATCTATTTCCTACACTTCCATCCCGAATATGTTATTAATTTACGCTTTCTTTTTGATACCTATTTTCACTTGGGACATTTCAGCGAGCAATGATTGCTTTCGATTAGAATTTTGGCTACCACAGTTCCATCAGCCAAAACAGGATAAAGAGGTAAAAAAGAAGTTAAACTGCAACAAGGGGTGCAGGCCTTAGACGAAAAGGCACTAAGATATCGCTCCTTTCATTTTCGCATTTCGCCGCTGTGCCGCGCAACATGTGTCGTACCGCAGCGGTGGCGTTTCAAGCCACAGCGGTCTCATTTCAATCGAGGCGGAATGGCAGAACCGCGGGTACTGTGCGATGGCAGTGCACGTTAAAGAACACCAGATGGTAGGAAATTCCGGAGCTCTTCACTTCAGCGTCTGTCATAATCATATCGTGGTTGTGGGACGTAAAACCCGAGATATATATTATTACATGTGTCGTACTATGGTATTTGCCACGCACGCACTTGCTCTATTTCATAAATATGCCGGCTGCACATTGATATGTATTGATATGCATGTACTTTGATAGGTATCATATGTTGTACACGCTGCGCCGTCAACATAGGAGAAAGCTGCGATATAATAACACAAGCTGACAGTTACTTATTTTCCGCAAAAGAGCTCATCAGGCTTAATATATACAATGAGAATAGTCAGAACCAACCAGGAAAATAAAAGTTACAGGGAGACTACACTCTTCCTTCAGGAATGCCGATCTTTGTCACTGTTTTCAACTAGCCACTCCTTATGATACCGCTGGTCTCACCGCTTTCCAAATGCAAAAAAAAAGTTGTTGCACGAAAAAGTGTATATTTATCTAGGAACATAACAAAAGTGCCAAAAGTGTCACACTGTTAAGTTTCATTTGTCGCTGTCTTCTGAGCACACTGCCATTTCAACATGACGTACATCGGTGGGTAAGGCATAACACTTTTTATCTCATGGGCGCAGGTATCAATCATGGTTACGGCTGCCGCATTTTATTGGTGGCTTGAAGCGCAGCATAATACTGGGATATGCTCATAATTTGCGTGTACTTTAAAGTACCTGTTTCACACGATCAAATGCAATCACCTCGAAAACATTTCATTTTTTCAACCTGGAGCCTCGGAAACTCCAGTGTTTATTTTTACTGGAGTTAAATTTCTATTCTGAGTACCGTCCGTAAGGCCCGTGGGTCCCCCGTGGCTGTAGAAGAAGCGGTCTCCTTCCTGGAAGCTGCGAAACTGGCGTCCGATGATGCAGGCAAAGGTGGGACCAACCAGGGCACCTGGCTGCACCGGCCGCTCCATCAGGCCGCCAACCCAGAGGTCCACGTCGTCGGGGTGCCTGAAGCAGTTGTCAGTCGTCATACATGGGCGCCAGTCAGTAAATGCATTAATTTAGGTGACAAGCAAAAAAATGAACTAGTTGAAAGCTTGGTGCTCGCACGCGTCTCTTCTATGGTGTTTTTGATTTCTCTTGTCCCAGCTGCGTTACAAATATTTCGCAAACAAAGCACATACTTGCCCAACGTTAGGTTATGCTAAAACCGTAGCCACGCGTTCTTTAACTTTTACTGAGGCTTCAGTTAGAATTTTTTTGTGCACAAACATCCCACGTGATGCTTCCCGGCAAAAGATTGTCGCACCTTCGCCTGCTTGGCTGCAGGTGGCGCTGGCTCCCATTACGCCGACAAGGAAGCAATCTGCGTCGTAGCTCCATTGGGGGAGAATCAAATACGTAATTTGGAGGTTACGGGTTCACATCCCCCGGACGGAACAGGTTGCATATCGTCACTTTTACTTCTTTCAATTTAGGTCAGTGTCATAGTGCCACAATTAAAAAAAACAACTACAATTGTTGTCCCCTATGCCTTTTATGGGTAATGGCCCCTTGGTGTCATCAATTGTGCCAAACATGTTTACGTGCGATATACCCATGTTTCGTTTTTCTCGAGGGACATTGCCTCCACATTGTTTCTTCTGTCTGTGTCAGTTATCCGACCTGCTGCTCAATTATTGAAATTGAATTAAACTTAATCAACTCAATATAACAAGGTGATTTTGGAGCCGAGTGGGAACGGCAGTGAACTCTTGCTTGTACGAACGTCGGTTTAACAAATACTTCACAAGTGACGAACTTCTAGAACATTTCTCGGTGGTTTTTTGGTGCCTTTCATGCAAAACTAGTTCAGATAAACAAATTTCTGAATAGTGAATATTTCAGTAGAACGAACTTTGCGGGCCCGGGTTCATTTCCGAAATCATTTCAATGAAGTTTTGCACTACGACGCACTGGATTCGCGGATGCGCGCCGCCCCCCAAATCACCCATCCATCGGCGGCGCTGCAACATCGCTTCTGAGCGTAGCGCCCCCGAGACAAAGTGACCGTTCGGGAGACGATAAGGAGGCACTTGAGCTTTAGTACCTGCGCACAATTATCAAGATTTGGAAATTCTTTCAGAAATAGCCCGGAACCGAAAGAAGAAAAGTGCAAGAAGTAGATTCAATTGCCAAGAGTGGTTCAAATCCTGTATTTGCAGCCAAAGCCCCAAGGTATATTAGAAAGTTGTAGGGACTTGGTGTCACAGCAACAAGCTTTGCTGAAGGCAGTGCGCAGAAACGTGCACCCCCGGGGCAGCCTTGTATATTTTTGCGCTTTAAGGGCGCCAACCCCCTCCCCCTCTTCTCAAAAAATAGAAATATATTTTCAAAATAAATTGCAATTTATACTTCTGACTCGATACCTGCTTTGCCTAGTGCCGTTTTGTTTCATTGTGAATATTAGGGTAATAAAGTTTCAGTTGTGTGAACTATTTCCACAGTTCGTTGAAGTCAACCCAAGTGAGAGTGCACTGTATTCGTACTGGATTTCGGAATTCCCAATACTAACTCGTAAAGCTCGGCGAGAACCCTGACGTGGTGAGGCTCCATGAAGGCGTGCAGGTCCTCGAATTCGTACACGTGCCTGCCCAGGCAGCGGCGCAACCAGAAGGCGTAGCCCGGAATCGCGTGGTCACGGCCCCGCTGTATGTTGAGCGAGGCTAGGTCCAGGCCTGCCTGGCTGCTCGAGTTACGGTATAGGTGCACGCGCACTGCATCCGACAGGGACGGTCCTGGCACGCGGGCGCGCTGCAGGGCCAAGCCACGAATGAGCCGGTCCACAGTGCCCTGAAAGAGATGCGAATCAGCAATCATATATGTAGTGAATTGACGCGCCGGTCAGTTCCCGCATGGTTTAGAATCCCACCCTCACCGTCACTGTGACAAACTAACACGTTAGTCGCAACTGCATGGAAACAAAAACATTTTATTGCCGGCACATCCCTACTAAAAGAGCCACATAGGTGTCGGTTGTTCGCACACCTTGTGATAACAAAAAAGCGACATAAAATTAGCGCATGCTCTTTCGTGGCAAACCGATGTAGCGTCGCTTGGGAAGATTTCCAAATGTGTCACAATGTACAGACACCACCTGATGCTTACGAGTGGGGTAGCATGCGTGAGCTTAAAGTGAATTGCCAGCAGGGGCTTAACTATTTTGTGCTAACAGTCAGAGATCACCATATCCCCTTACGAACATGGTGACTCATGTTCCCGTAACAGAAAAGGGGTTCAATCCATCTCGGTCTCGTAAGACGTTCATGATTCTCATTACCACCACCATCAACATCATCATCCCCATAATCATCAGTGCCACCATCACTCTAAACTTATGATGAATATGTTAACTAGAAGAAGAAAGCATTCACCAATGATCCGGAATATATTTTACCTAACACAAACTGATTACATTTAAACCATGGGAAGTCTCGTTGCTCCATTAGACTCATGGCCGTTCTCAGCTTCCTTGGTTTTTTCGTCGTATCCGCTCGGTTACCTTGAATCACCACCGGTTCCTTGCCGTACGTATTGTGTTGCCCGCGCAAGTCAATTTCTTCTACTTATTATAAAATAAGGTATCAACTACTGATGTTTTTGTTTGTCAACATGAACTCTGTTTTCATCTTTTATTAGGGAGCCTGAGCGCTTCGTCAGAATACTTTTGCATGTTTTTGCAAGTATAGGTAATATAATTACGGGGCATAGAATTGATCAATGACGTTGCTCACCTATGCTATGTACAGACCGGTCCACAGTTAAATACGAATTTTGTATGCAGGCCATGTCCGGATTCTTTTGTCCTGTGGAGCTGTAGTACCTCAAAGTACCGGTGGTGGACTGCTCCATCGCCGTGCACGAACAATGCTTGCACACCTCCTAGCAGTTAGGCCATGGAAGTCAAACAGCCGCCCATGGGCCGCATGAGGCCTACGGACCACTCGTTAGCAGCTTGTCAACACATGTCTTTCCTCGTTCCATATTGTCATTTTTCTCTATACATAGCTCGTGAGCATTCAACTTAGCCAAATAGTAACTTGACTATTTTCTTGCCCATTGCGACTAAGAAAGCTCTATACGCGTGAGCTAGCACTGTCATGACTGGTCACAAGCAATTTTTTTCGTGAGGCCCTTCATACAATTACAACGCGTGGACACATGTGGGGTAAAAAAAATATATTATGAAATTGGCGAACAGGTTTGAGTAACTCTAGGGATCGCTGTCGTTATGGTTGCTGGATCCTGACATAATGCTAGATACGTCGTAGGCTTTCTTTGAAACGAGAGCGCGAGCTGAAATTTTGAACAACTAACCACCACACCCGCACCCATTGCAACCTCGGTTTTTGCCCAGCGAAGTTTTCCGACTGCGGCCCGCTAGCGAAGGTGAGCTTGAGACCACTGTTAGTTAGGCAGTTTGAAAGGTGCTCGTCGGAGCCTTCCCTTTAACAGTGTACCCTGCTGCACTTTGGCTTACCATTTCGTGCAGGTCATCGACCAGAAAATAATGGTCAGCAAGCGAGTAGGGGGTCGCCCTGAACTGTTCGTCAACCAGCGAGAACTGGTCTACCATGCCGTGACCGAAGCGGAACGCGGCCGTCGCGAACTCCACCAGCACCGACGGGTCTCGTCGGGCGTCGTAGCGGGTGCGCCGTTCCCGTGCAGGAGGGAACCGGCGGCCCAGCACCACGGGCAGGTACTCGTTGTAGATGATGTGCTGATGCTGTGCTATGACGACACGCCTGCGCAGGGGACCAGCAAGAGCCTAATGCAGTGCTCCTTAATTGTTTCGAAAGAAAAGGTAAGGAACATTGGAAAGGCAGGGAGTTACCACTACTTTCAGTTGAAGAGAACATAAAAGAAGAGAAGAAACACATAAAAACAGACATATTTCAAAGCCCTCCCACCCACACATACAAGGTACAGCGAATCGTGGGGGTCACTCAATGGTCATTTTTAAAGCCTGAGCAGCGCTTCCAGTCCAGATACCCGAAATCGAAGCTACGATTGATAGGCGTCCGAAATAATCAGTAGAAAATCTTGGGGGCCAAGTATTTTTTGCGATATTTTCCAAATGTCGCCACCCAGCGACACACAAACAACATAGCACATGCGACATCACTGCCTCTGCGCATGCGCAGGCTAGTCTCTTAAAAAAAAGGCCCATTCTGTTGTATTCTGGTACTAAAATTCTCAAAGCAATAAGAAAAATATTCGACAGTGCACATAGAAAAGACGAAGACCAGTGCTGTGCGCATCCAGCGCAGTGTGCTTTTTTGTGTGCGTTGTTCGACGTTTTGCGCTGAGCAGTTTAATAATAAAATATCAGCCAGCCCAATCGCACACATTATTTGAGGTACCGCAAGAAAGCCCGCGTGGCTTTTTGACCTGATTAGCTGTGAGGCTAGGCTCCTAAAATATCACTTTCACTAAAATGTCGATCAGCAAGCCCCCTCAAGGCATGCGAAGAGTTTGGTGATGTTGAAATCATGCGCAGTGGCAAAAAAGATGTTTGGAAAAAGTTGCACATTTTTCTACAGAGGACCAACCGTAATGAACAACGCTCATACGCTGAACCACCGAACTCTAGTCATGGCTACCATTAGAAGGATATTTAATGCTAAACCGATCAATGAGTCGTGGTGTGCGTCAGATGGCTTGCATTATGCGCGACATGTGCCAAGTACTCTTTCGACACCATCAATCAGACGGAATCACCTGAGTGTTTTCCATGTAAGCACCATGTTATGAGAAAGTTTGAGAACTAAGAGTTAGACAACTGTTGCGTTAAAAAAGGTCCACACAAGTAGCTGTTCTCAGTGCATGGTCAAAGCAGGACGGCATCTCTCAGGTGAGCAGGTAGATCTTTCAGGTAGCAGGTAGCTCTTTCAGGTAGTGCTGCTTACAGCGCGCCGAAACGCATAAGCACACAATTTCCGAGCCACAGCATTAAGCTTACAACTGGAAAGCTTTCTCGAAATTCGCCGCCAATAATATTATTGGATGAGATCTGCCTACCTGGCTTCCTGGTAGACAGTCTCGGGGTCCCAGTCGGGATTCAAGTTCTTGAGCTGCTGAGCCACGCGATTGTGCTGTCGAGCGTACAGAATCTGCAACAGGAGAACACTAATAGCGTATTTGAAGTTTCTATCAAGCCAAACCCAGTGCGAGAATTTCGAGAGACCACCAGCATTCCTTTATTTGAGAAACGCATCTCTTGACTCTTTATTAAAGACCACTTTTCCTGACGACACTAAAGAAAAGTGCTGTCGATTCGCGAAACGATTAAAGCATAGATCTGCAAAAGACTCGAACAAGAAGTAGGCCTGAAAGACGTAGGAATAGGCAAAAGTACGGGAACAATAAGTAATTGATATGCTGACATGTCTGAAAGATTGCTCCTCATCCAATGCGTCTTGTGCTATAACCGAATTTCAGCGAAATTTCCTCTAATCATGATTTTGGGCATCATGCTAAAACGTGGACGGTGTAGCGTGCCTTCTTGAGCCTTTTAGGTCGCTGTTTGTACTAGGTGGGAGCAACGACCGCAATTTGGACGTTTACCTTTGACCAGATTTATTAACAGTCCACCTTTAGCAAGATATAACCATAAATGAAGCGGAAATAGGAAAGTAGTTGAGAGGACCAGGAATGCGAACCGGTATAAAGCGTGAGATTGCACGCGCGTACCAAGGAACCAATTGGAGCACTGCAGGTGGCTCTACGGATCATGTGTAGAGCCACACATAACCCTGTCCTATATTTTTTCTGGTGTTGCGCTGTAAGTAAGTTCACGATGAATCCTAACCAACTGGCCCAACTTACCATCTCACTTATGTGTAGGATCCTGTGGTACCCAGAGTTTTTTAACCGTCAGGTGTAGCTAAAGTTTCAAAAAGATTCTTCAAACATCTTTGGTGTAACCTGTGCATCTAGGGTGTAACTAAGAGCCACGGCAAGCGAAACCCATTGAAGTACGCAAAAAAATCTTCTATTTGGACTTTTAGCTTCCGAATGTCTCTAAAAGCTGAGCTGTACCTGTAACACGGCGATGGCTGGCTGTTGGTTGACCCTGCCATCTCCGGCGCGGAAACAGAAGCTTGCCGTGGCAGGGTCGCTACAGCCGTCGCGGTCGGGCCGCAGGCTTGGCGGCAAAAGGCCGGCTCCGGCTAGCAGCATCAGCTCCCTGGCATCGGAGTTCCTGAGCGTCTCGTGCTCCGTCTGATCAATGCCGTACACGTGCGAGGCATCCAAGAAGGCACTCTGCTGGTTCACGAACCGACGCTCGTCTGCAGAATCGACAGCACACCGTATCCTTTCTGACAGGCAGCGCTATTTCAGTCTACTCTGTCCTTTTCGCTGTTCGCAGGGTGAACAAACTTGCCAGTACAAAGACATACCAACGAGCCCAAGCTGCCATTCTTCAAGTTCACTAGAATTGAATGTATTCATATTCTTAGGTAGCTTGCTAAGGTTTAGTTGCTCGTTAAAGAACGCCAGGGGGTCGAACTTTCCTGAAACCCTACACTATGACGTCTCTCGTAATGCTATCATAGTTGTGCAACGCGAAACTCCAGAAAAATATTGATATTGATCCTAAAGCAGCTAATGTGCAGTTTAGAATGAAATGCAAGCAAGACACAGTGAAATAGAGAAAAGGAACAAGTTTGGCACTGAATGTTGATTACATTACAGACATGCTAACACCTACTTCACACACATACACAAACACACGCACACACACACACACAAAAAAGAACTGCTACGGTGCAGAAACTTGCCCTTCTGATATTGTTTAAGTGCTATTGGTCATAAAATATAACAAGATTACATCAAAGCTTCATGAGCAGATGCATGTCCTTAAAAGTACCGGTCATAGGCGTAGCCAGAAAATTTTGGAGAGGGGGGGGGGCTTGAACCACGCTTTATGTATGCTAGTTTGCGTGTTTGTACATGTGCGTGTATATAAACGCAAGCAAAACAATTTCGGAAAACGTTTGAGCCCCTCACCCCTCCTGGCAACGCCAATGGTACAAGAACTTTATCATACTGGACCTTCCTTCTTCGTACATTTGTATAAGTAGTAATGTCATCCCAGAACATAATTAATGCTTGAACATAAAAACTGCTCAGCAGACAAAAATAACACAAGCAGCGCTGACTTTCAACAAAAGCTTACTGGTGAAGCGATGTACACGCCAAGTTTTTATGTTGTAACGTGATTACATGTGATATGTAAAATTGCTATGCTATAACGCTTTAGTCAGAACTGAAATAGAATGTGATCAGGTTCTGTTCACTAAAACTAATATTAGTAAGCTTGATAGAGTGCAGTGAAAGGCAGTTGGATTTATGTTTTCAATAATTTTTAGGACTATATTCCGAACCTGTGAAAATTAACCTTATTGAACCACTCTAGCTTAGAAGATAGATTCTGAAAATGGAATTTCCTAAATTTAATTACGAGATCAATTCACCACTAGACTCAATATCCCAATATATATCACGTCTATAAACCAGAACCACATGTCACCGTAGACAAGGCGCATTAATACTTTACTTCACAAAAACGAACACATTTCAGAATTATTCTTTTTCTAGTACAGTAACCGAATGGAATAGGCCATCTTATTAATCCGGAAGTGCGCTTCTCTGCGATGCGTGTTCACCCTGCTAATGGCAGTACCGGCCGTGCTTCAAGGAGAGACGAGGTCTTAGCTGCGCGTGCTGCGGCTTGTGTATTACCGGGTCTATATTAAGACAGTCGAGTCTCCATTTTACACGTCATAGCGCGAGAGAACTGTGCTCGAATACCTTGTTTTCAATAGGTGGCTAGCTGATAATAGTAGAACGAATGGCATCGCAGGAAGGCTAGCTTTACGATTAGGAAAAAGGTCTGTTGCATAATGAAATCAACATCATAATCCTCATTATTATAAATTACTTTTACAGGGTTGTGCTAGACATCTTTACTCTATAACTATAATATTATTTTTCTTTTCACAGTTCTTTTTAACTTATTTCCAAACGGGCTTAGTGTTGTACCATTTTTATTGCCCTCCCGGCTTGGACTAAGTGTCAGCAGTGTTTTATAAAAAAATGAATATGTAAATAAATAAATAAATAATTAAATAAGGCAAAAATATACCATGTGTAGAAAGGCGCAGCCACAGCCATGCCAATAACAATACCAGGATGAACTCTTATGACTTGTTTACTGAGCAGGAAGCTATTTCTGTCAGTCTTGGGCCGCTGCGTGATTCTTATTTTTATTTTTGTGTTGCCAACTTGCCCAAGTTTCCACGCTTCATAATTCATGCAGAGCAGTGCTTCTACAATATTAATTGTCATTCCACGCACCCTGCCCAGTTCACTGGAGTGAACATTTCTCGCGTTCGTTTTTTTATATATCTGGAACACTGTCTCTGTTGAGATCATCCTCTTACGAATGTATAGGTTATCGCTTGATTTAAACCTTATTTGTTTACGTTTAGTTGGATGATAATTAGCGTATGCGGAGGACGTACGCATGATTCCGTTGCAGTCGCTGCACCCCGAAGAGCGGACGAAGTTGATGCACGACACGGACAGCGGGGCGTAGAAGGGGTCATCGCTGCTAACGTTCACCGGGAAACAGGCCGGCGACGTCTCGTTACTGGTGCCGCAGCACACCAGCAGGGACCCGTTGACTGCAGAGACAGATGGTGAGAACTGATTGTTATAAGGTATAACTCACACGTTTTCTTAGCATTCACGACTCGAAAAGAAAGTCATGATCTTTTTTTTTCCTTCAGTCTGTTCATTCCCAGCCACCTGCACTTAACGTTATTTCGTACTGCCTCCAGGATCAAAGGCGCCTGGGCGGGTTTCGAGCTTCCTTCATGAGCAGCTTTGGTACGATGTGACGGATGCGACGTCATCACGACGTCACAAGTTTGACAATCTGTGACGTCATGAACACCCCAAGTTGTGACGCTAGTACGTGATTATTTTTTGCGCTGACCGCTGACCTAACGCCAATAGACCACTGGACGCCGACACTAACGGTGATTTTTTGCGTTCGATGAGGCATCTAAGGCTCTCGTCATAATAACGGTGAGAACTTTGAAAGAGGCAGAACAACGTCAAACATTTACTTCACTGCCACCCCTGCCACCCCGCCCCTAGTAACCCCCCCCCCCCCCAAGAAAAAAAAGGGGGAGCAAAATCTGCGCCATACATGGACATAGTAAGGTGGGGTGCTACTTCGAAGAAGCTTGCCCCCCCCCCCCCCTGCTGATGTTAAATCCTGTGCATGCTTACGGTGACTTCTAGGACTCTTGCAATGGCACTACGAACAAAGGAGAATGAGAAACGCTTGTTTATTCATTGAGTCGAATTTCTAAATATGTCGCCCTGCGCTGTGTTTACGCCATTATGGCTCACACGACGGGATGACGAGCGGGAATAATAATAATAAAAAAAACATGCATCATTCACAGGTCCCCAAAGCTGGCGAGCTCACTGAAAATCACTTGTAAAATATATTTTGAGCTTTGAACAACTCACTCAGACTCGAGAAAGTTTTCATGAGCCTGATTCAGTCAGACTCACACTCATTAGAACATTACTCGCCCGGACTCACTGAGTGTCACACTCACGGCTTGATCTCATTATGAGTGAGTACGAATGAGTCCACTCATGAATACATTAGCCACAAATCAGCGTCTGCAACCATGGTGTCTGTACTCTTTATCACGAATATCTCATGTAATCGGTGCTTTTCTTGGCGCTGTCTGACATGTTATATTCGAAAAAGCGTTTTGAGAACTTGTAAATCAGTAAGGTTACTTTTCTCGGAATAGATCACAGCATACAAAATATTTATGAAGCACTTCCCTTCAACAGCTAGTGGGAGGGAGGTCAAGGCACTCCCTTACGTAATTCACGCCTTCTATCAAAACATATTGAAATGGTGTATGCATGACACTGCTTTGGAATACCTGTGAATAGACATGAGCATAAATGAGAATACAGGGATGGCTTATAATAATGCTAAGGATGACTAGATTACCATTACAAAATACCACTACATAAATCATTTTTCGCGCAGAATATATTTACTTGCTATATTGTTTTCTTCTCCTTCATTCACTGGTCGTTACGCCTAATTATCCCTAAAAGAGAAAAACTTGCGAAATTCCCCCCCTCCATACTCACCCCCCATGTTTATAAGGAGCGCTCAACGGTGCACTTACGCGTGACCAGCAAAGTGACAGAGTTTATTCGAAAGCAGGCATGCAAGGAGAGCTCAATGAAGCTGACTAATTTCCTGTGATTACTGGCCACGGCAATAACTTGGTCTGCTTGATCATGCCCCTGAGGACTAATTTGTATCTTTAGAATGTGTGCCTTTATTTGCTTTTTATTGCTTAGCTACTTATAAAAATACAGTAATTTTGTATTTATTGTGTTTATTTACGTATCGTATTCCTTCGAAGCTGCACTGTGATTCAATCTGTGTATAGATGAATAATAATCAGCCGTAGCCCAGCTCCTGATTTGTTTAAAGTACGCGTGTGATAGATTAAACCAGTTAATGGCCATACAGGCTAATGGTACAAATACCGTTGCGAGGATGTATGCATTACGCTGCTTGAATAGTGATTGATTCATCATTTGATTGACTGGCTGATCGATTCATTTCAAATAAAAAGGTTTAGACGGCTTTCTGGGATGATGATGTTTGAGGCCAGACTCTCAAGATGTTTCCTTAAGTAAAACACCGATCAGACAGTCTGCCTAAAAGGGCACTAAAGTGGTACAATAAGTTACTCTAGACTGCTAAAGTTTACACTGAAAGCTCTACCATCCTTAACTTCACTTGCATAGGTTAGTTGATGAATAAGAAAAATAACGTAAAAGTATCACTTCATAATAACAAAAGAAGTATCGTGTCACGAATTTCAAAATAGTTTTTCGTATTTTGGCCACATTCATTAAAGAAAAATTTTAAAACTTGGTATGTGATGTTTCTCACTGCCTCAGAAGACAACGTACTTCATTATTACCATTCAGGAGGCACGTCGGCATTAGTATATGCTTTAAACAATTGTGGCGTCATGGCCACATCCTCTTTTTGCGAGTTTTCTTACTACCATGCATCTTCTCGCATGAAGTGGGATGATTTTAGTGTCCCGAAAGAATATGTTTCTGATCGAACAAAACAACTTTCTTTTTTAATTTCCGCTGAAAAGAACACGCAGAAAGTACGCCAGAAAGGCTATCACAATTGGGGTCTACGAAATGGTTGAAACAATAATTCTAATGCGATAGTTGCTCGAGCTTCTTAATTCTACGTTGACCCAAAGTCGATGAATGGGTGAAATGATCATTCTAGTGCGTCAGCTCTACAACAATGATACGGTGTCACATAAGCGATGACAGTATTGTAGCGTCACATCGAGAATTGTTTCTTGGTGGCGGCAGTATGGAATCTACGTCGCATAAAGGCCGGTTGGAGTATAAAGAAGAACTGCAGGGAGTTACCGTGACACTGTACGTAACGTTTCGAAGTTTTCTCTCAGCATCTACTCCTGATAAAATCACGATCAGTGTCGGTGCCCCGTCGTAGGCCTTGGGCAGCGCCACTGGCGAGGCGTTTACCACCGGCCGCATAATGTTCCCCTAGCCATTGTAAAAGAGAGATGTCATCCATTAAAAGCACATTGAAAAGTTTAATTCAACATTGTAAACTTTGCCCGTTTTCAAGGGATGTCACAGAGTCAGAGAATATTACCACTTCTCTAGAAAATCGTTGTATGAAATATTCCACTGTTACTTTATGATCAGAAAGCTCGGAACCTGAAGATGTCTGCATGTACGAGGCGACAGTGGTATGATATGCACCTGAGTAAACACGCGATCTTCAATAACGTTTTTCGTGGCATGCACCGCTTAAGACATGCAAGCTGTTAGCAGTTATGTGCCACAAATAGCAACTTTGGTGGAAATAGGTCGAAGGCCAGATGACAAAATCAGCCCCTTTGCAATTCATCGACGACATGAAATGAGTGAAATAGTGGGCAAACATGCGACGTTAAGGATGACTTATCACAAACTTCTTGTCTAAAAGAAAAACTGCACGGGGCTTTTGATACATGATCGTTCTTATTATAGCATTATTATTGCTTGCTTCGCGTAAGCCGCAACTACGTGCCAAGGTTGGCTCGGTAGTTGTTGCTTGCAAACAGCGTAACCGTGAGGAGCAAGTTTTCGAGAATGCTCTGTACACTAACGGCCCACACGTGCGCTTAGAATTGAACATGCAAAGAGCCACGCTCGTGCCCAGCGAGCATACAAGTCTGTTGCGAAATGCAGGGGCGATCGTTGCGCGATCTTTGTGCGACACCTGCTGTTGTTCTCTTCTCGTGGCTCGTCTGGCTCGCTGCCAGATGTTAGTGCTGCGGGCGGGTGTCGTGCCAACGGCATCTCTTCGAGGCAAGCCCGTCTGTTCTGCGAAGATTCCGCCGTTGCAGGTGGATAGCAATGGCACCAACAGGAGCGCTCAACCCGTCACTAACGTTAAAAAAGAACGAATGCTAAACATATATATGCCCACTTAATACTCGTGTCACACGGACGTTTGAAAGGCCTCCTAAGGAATGGCCTTTTGAGTCAATGGTAAAGCTCAACTTCTTGCTACACGGGATGTTTTGAATGCTGTGAAGGTACATGGAGCACTGCCAACCTCTATTAGAAATTGGATAGCCATACTGAAACGGGAGCGCAAACAGCGTCAAACGTGCAATTTCCACTCCTAAGATTAGAGAAATCTAAGCAGTATAATTGACCCACAGTATATATGAGCGTAATAAATTCTTTAATAAAGTATTTTTGCCAGTTGAAATCTGTGAACTGCTAATACTCTGGACAAATTTAAATAATATCGCTTTGCTGTATACACCACTGAAGCAATCCTGATAAATATGAAGGGATGATCGTAGTTTAATATTCTTTTTTTTTAAACGACAACTGAGGTTGCAGAAAGTACCTGAGGGTCATTAGCCCGAAATCACCATATAGCCCGAAATCAACCATATAGCGATGTCAATGTAGCAACACCGTGTGACCTTGGGCCGGTAGACGGTGGCTCGGTTTTTTTGTGAAAAGCTTATTTTGATTAACGTTTTTTTTCCTTCACTAACAGCGTTTCGTACTACATCCTATTTAATATTAGGCATTATATTGGAGCCTCTGAACAACATTTCGCGAGACGTCGGCGACTTCTTGCGAGGTCTCCAGGAGACCAGTCAGGTTGTTGGTTCACCGTAGAAAAGGTATAAATGCACTTTTTTTTAAATTTGAATAATTCGGTCCCACCTTTACTCAGTCGAACATGTCCCGTCCCTCTTTAATGTGCGGTGTCCTTGCAAGATACGTTCATGAAGAAAATGGCGGCTAACGACTCCCTGATGTTACATTCGAAGAATCATTCATGTTCCACCTGTGTACCCCTGAAGGTCCGGGAGGAAACACAGACTGTTGTGAGCAAAACATCCTTATTTCATTTGCATATCTGCATGCATTGCTAAGTATGATTTCTTTCGGACTAAACCAGTTGAGTGCGACGGGAGTGGGGGAATGGAATGCAGCTGATGATTTGCTCTCATAATGAATTACCCCACGCGCACCTATGGCATAATCTTTT